AAAATGAAAAATGCTATAACATTTCTTAGATCTTTTATTTTCCTTACTGCAAAATTTGGATGTGTGAAAAATCTAATAATTGTAGGGTAGTTTCTTTAAGATTCATTAAAATATAAAATATTATTCCTGGTGCAATATTGGAGCCTACAGTGTTCAAAGGGTCAATTCTAATTATAAATTGGGTCGAAAAACTGCAGAATAATCTCTGAAACTTTCTTTGTCTCGCGTACTTTCCGTTGAAGTATCTTTTCTTGTGTAATCGAATATTTGTTATTGAATTAAATTAACCCCTTGCTTTATAATGTTTTTAAATTGATAACGATAAATTAGTAACTCTTACGAGCTAGATCAGGAGAACACGATAGGTCAAAGGATTAACGAAGACAAAGATTCCTGCGTTGGATGGGATCTCTGTAAACGCGTTCTCGCGCATTCTCTCGGTCAGCTGTTTGCGTCTCACGGCGAAGTTTCTCAAGGAATATTACAAAACCAGCTACTTGAGCCTACACACGCCCGACTCATTAGTTAGCGTTCCAGCGTAGCTGAAACAATCGATGCACGACGATCACGGTCGGCGTTCATCGACGGACGTGTATTTTCCCGTCAACGATTGTCCTTGGCTAGAATTAACCCCGGAAATCTATCCAAGCGCCGTGTTTCCGTTCCTGGAGCCCGTCGCGAATACATTAATGGCAAAATATTGATTGGCGCCTCATTGTTTTCGCTCGTTTTCAGGGGCTGCGTGATTGCTCGTCGAGGAGGAGGCACGATATCGTGTTTCTTCGATGAAAACTCTACGATCGATGCTATTATTCGTCATTGCATTAGACATCTGTGAGAATTCCAGATGATTTTCGGATGCCCTGCGATCGTAAGGTTGAAGCACGGAGTCTCCGGTAATTGATACGAATTAATAACGCGAGAATCTCGCGACGATGTCAAGGATACGAGGGTAAGCGCATCGTTCCCTTGCAGGAATCATCGCGTTTTCGATGATCGTGGCGCACGCGATGCGTTCCGCGCGTGAGAAACGCGTTCCGCGTGTTCCGGAGGGAAGACGACGTGTGAGAAACCGTAATTGCGAGGTTTCGAGGCGCGTTTTCGTTACTGTTGCGAGCAGGACGGCGGCGAGGCGAGGAAGACGAGGTGAAATTACGGTAGTACTAAGATTCGATGTTCCTAACTAACAGATTTCTTTTCAGTTTCACGAAGATTTTGGACCGCAAGGAATTCACATAGATTCGACAGTTTCGATGAATTAATATCACTATACCGCACAATGCACAATTAAAATCCCGAATCATTTGAATAAAAAGCTGGAGGGTAAATTCCTACGTGGCTTAGGTAATTTACATTACGCAAATTTGTATTTCGTTCAGCCTTGCTAAATCGCCAGGAACTTATCCATAGTCGAACAGCGTTATCGATATTCAATGAGGTACGTTCATCCTTCGGCATTTGAATCGGGAAAAAAACGTGCGTTTAAGGGAATGCTCGTTTGATTCGAGCCAAATACGGAATCGGCCAGAAGATGGGAATAAATGATACGAGACGGAGTTGAAGCTTTGTAAAGTGGAATTGTTCGAGAAAGAAGATCGTCGGAGGCGAGCGGCCGTATCCGTGGAAGATATAAAATTCAACGGTGTGGATCGTAACGCAGGATCGTACGATAGTTCCCATGCAGGTTCCTACCCTTCCCCACGTGTTTGCATTCCAGAGCGATGTTTCACTAAATGCACGCATTGCATCGAGTTTAACCACCCTCCGCAGAAGAACCAGTTCTTTCGGGCCGTGAGCACGCCGCTCCCCTGCCATGCCGCGAATGCTTTACGAGAAGGCACTGAAAAAGAATCGACAAAAATCTATCCCGCCGAAACCCGACGATGCGGCCTCGCCTCTATCATCCTTCCACGATCGATCTTGCCCCGATAATCGGCATTCCGTGCACGCGAAAACCGCTCGAAAATTATTGATATCCTCTTGTCGTTACCTGCCAGTCGATTACAACCTCCCCGTCCCTTCTCGACCTACGGAATTTTTCATACGAAACGATCGTTTCGAATAAAAATCATCTGACAACTCTGGCCGCAGAGGATTAAACACGCAACAATGTATGAATATTCAACTCTTCGGTTTTTGCATAGACAATGACTCATTACAAACGTTACGATCTACGTTTTTCAGGCTGTAGAACCAGTATCAGCTTCACGTAACAGTTACGTACAAATGTTTACGAATGTACACAAACTGTGTAGTTTTTATTTAACGACTGTGACTGAACGATCCCGATGGTACCTCCGAAGAAGTAACCCGGTTCGACCGACATCTTTCTATTCGCATGATTCACGGTGCACGGTCCAAGATCACCTCGAATTCTTTACGCTCGACCGCTTCGATTTGCATCGTACCGACACGCTGTCTTTGCTAATCAGGCACTCGCGGATGGTACCTCGAGGATCTCTCGCTTGAAGATCTTTCGCTTTATCACTGGCAACAATTTAATTATCCAAACATGCAACGAAGCGGTATCTTACAATCAAGTGTTCATCAAAATATCTACTTCTCTCGACTTCGCCAATAGCACAGTCCTCGAATATCTTAATTCCATCAACCGTCTCATTAAAACGATCAAATTCACTTTCAATCCGAAAATCTTGTACACCGTTAATGGAGTCGTCATATCTCCATCGACATGGGTCCGCATTAAACGTCTTCGAAATGAAAACTCCTCCGGTTGTTATTCATCTTTAATTAACTCCGACCGATCGAACAATTAAAATTAATAGCCGTGCCTGAATGCGTAAATCACTCCGATAGAGGCAAAAACTCATCAGAACCGTCTGGGAATGGTTTTCTTCGCGGGCACCTTGGCAGTGAAATTCCGCTCCCAAGGCGATTCTCTCCGTCGATCTATCTTTCGGGATCTCTGTTCTCTTTCCACGTTGAACGGCGCCGGTCGGCCGACGATTCCGTTTCATTGAGAAGTTCGGTACGGCCGCCGCGCCGGTGCGGTGGGACCGGCACGTGCACCGGTGCTACCGGTCCCGGTGTGTCCGTCGGCCGGCCACGCGAAAATTTATGTCCGCCGTTCGGCGTTGAATTCACTTTCGTCGACAGCGTGTGTCGTTAGAATAACAAACGCGGCGACGATTTTCGCTGGCTCTCTCGCTCGCTCGCTCGCTCGCTCACGCGCGCGCGAAGGGAACGCGACGACAAAGCGAAATCATGGCGATCTCGAGCGGTCGGAATCAGAGCGAAACGCGCGAGCCATCGCCTGGAATCGCCGCGCCGGCTCGCGGACCGTTCGCGTCGCTCCCCGGACCGGCTAGAAATGTAATTGGCAGCGTCCGCGGACGAGATCCAATCGTTTCTTTGACCGTTGCTGATGTTTTTTTAAACCTTTCGCCCGCGAGCCACTTTTCTATATGGTCACGGGAGAAAAGAAAGAGTTTGCAGAAGCGGCTGGATCATCTTTGCTTTCAAAGCGGTGGAAAAAGTCTGCCTCGTCATTTCATGGAACGATTCTTTCACATTCGCGCGAACGTGTAAATTGTTCGACTGTTCTCGTCATTCTTTCGGAAAAAAACGAGACTGTTTCTCGAGCAAACGTGTGTACTCCAGTTAATTTGTATATTATTCGCTCTGGTTCTCTAGAGTTTCAGACGTTTAATCGAAGATACGTATCTTCGTGTTCGTTCGAACGGAATGAATTCTATGGTTGGAGATCGCGGAGTCTCGTAGATCGGCACGAAAGAAATGGGAGTCTCGATGCTTGCGCCAGAACGGAAGTATTAGGTGACAGTAACGAAAAAAGAGCGATTGCCCTCGCGTCGGTCATTTGGAATGCAACCTCTGTAAATCATTTAAAGGCTACGTGGCCCTTGTCGCGGTTAAGGCCTTCGGAGTCGTAAAAATGACGGCTCGTAGCATATTAATTCGGTGGCACTTCGCACGAGCAACATTATTACATGTTGTTCGTTGGTTCGATTCGGTGCGAATTACTTGTTGCCCCTTCGAAGCTTCCGGAACTTTCAAGGGCGCAAACTTGGTTGCGCGAGCCAGCACCGGCTATACAGAAGGAAAGACCGACTGTTTTAAGTCCCAATTTAATTCCCCGGTCTTCTCCCCGGCGAGGGACATTTCGTTCGGATAATCGATCGGCGAATCCGACGTTTTTGTCGCCGAGCGATTAATGTCAAGACCAACGAATCGCGCCAACTCCCCGCTCCTCTGACGACGTTTAATTGGCAGTCTCGCTTGAAAATTATTACTGGACCACTTATCCGTTGTAATTCTATTGTTCCTCGATAAACGCGCCGTACATAATTTCCCATTCTTGGTCCGGGCATATTTTCGCGGCAGGAAGTTGACGCTGGATCACACGTAAAAAATTCTATTCATCCACTCCGCTATTAGAGTACGTGTAACATTTGCATTGGACAATCAACTTTTCAAGAATTCAACGATTCTTGGGTACCGTAGCATTGGCTGCTCTAGACTGTGGCCATTCACGGTAACACGAATTAACGTGGAACCGTAATCCTACCCAATCGTTAACCTATAAACTTATAAGTTCTGTAGTCTATGAACTTCGTCGGGGTAGCTATAGCTGTTAAAGGAAGTTCTGTGACATCTGTGACCTATTGTACTATCCACTGTACCGCTATCGAATCGTTAAGCTACTCTGGAAAGCGTCTTCATCGATTCCCAGTGCGAATCTTTTATTAATTCACTAACCCTTTGCACTCGACGATTTGTCGCTGCGTACGTTCATTATATTTCATTCACAATTACATTGTATACAATACGATATTGAATATTGAATCGTATGATCCTATTACACCGAAGCAAACGTTGAGTTACCTCTCGAGCGCAAAGGGTTAATATATCTTCAACATTCGACAACACGTTGGACTACAAAGTAACGAAAAATGTCCAGATTAATTTCCCCCTGTGATCGGCCCATCCGAAAATGACTGTATTACAAAGAATTCACTCACCGTTGCACGCGGCGACGATGCACACCAGGAGGAGCAGCAGCCGGGTGACCATTTTGGAGAACACGTAGGGCGTCATCTCCGGTGGCGCATTTATCACCGAGCGTCCTTGGGACAGGATCGTAGCCCCGTGTTCCGCAGGACCGATCGAGCTTGTCGTTACGCACGTGTACTGCCGTCGAAACGATTCGTCGCGTACGATTTGTACCCGCACGACGATGACGCATGTAAAACCCCCTCCGTGTCACCGTTTCACGAGCGTGCAAAGCGTTCCTCGGACGCAAGGAACCGATTACACACCTTCTTCTTCACCCTGCACTTCTGCCGAGCGACGCGCCACTTCCTCCCTTGCACTCCGATCAAGATCACAGT